TTGCTATAGGCCAACCAGGAGCTCGAGAGGGAAAGGAAGGCCTTGCAGAAGGCCTTGGAGAGCGAGCAGAAAGAGAAGAAGAAACCGGTTTAGGGACAGCAGAAAAAGACAACGCGCCGCACTCCCCGCCCAGCCAGAGGCAGACGATACCTCCCCACCCCCCGCAGTGCCCCCCGAAGGTGGACCGCCTCTTCCGCCAGCTGCGCTGGTGGAGAACGCGCTGCGCTCACCTTGAGCCGAGGGGGCCAGCGCTGCCCGACTGGCACTGGGGCTGACCGGCTTGCCCCTACCAGGCGGAGGAAATGAGAGCGGCGCGGGGGGGGGGGGCGGGGCAGGGGGAAGGAAAGGGGGGGGCGGGGGGGCAGGGCGCAGGCGGGGGAGCGCAGGCGAGGATTTTATTTGCACGAGTTCAAGAGAGAGAAAAGTGGGGCACCCAATCAATGGGTCCCCACCTCGCCCACCGAAAAACAAAACAAAAAACAGCCGTCCACTTGCGCTTGATTTATTGCACGACCAGAAATTCAATGCTATGCAACATTGCCACGTAGTTGCACGCGTTTGTTTGCGACTACTCTCCGTTCGTAGCTGCCTGGGCTCAATCGGAGGCTCCCGCCGCGTCTCGCCTTGCGCGATACCCCGCTGGTCAGAGCCATGGCCCTGCACGAGGAGATCAAGGCTCGCGGCGAGGGCTTCTACTTGCGCCCCCTGTCGACCGCGCTGGCAACCCCCGCGGTTCCCACAAGCGTCAGCATTGACGCGCTGGGCGGGTTCTCCGAGGACGTCGCGCCAACGGACAATCCGCTGACGCACTTCGTCGACCTCGTTGTGGGCCACGCGGACGCCGCGCCCGCGGACGTGGAGGTGCTCGACAGGGCTGCTTCCGAGAACAACGATTGGGGCGGCCCCCCATCGCCCTTCGGCTTCAAGGGCGCATTGCCCGAAGACACCCAGCTCCAGTTCGCCATGCTGGACGGCCAGGGCGGCGCCGAGACGATCGTGAAGCGCGTCGTCTCCAAGAGCCCCGTCAAGATGAAGTACGGCCCTTTCACGGACTTGGCATGCCGGACTCCGCGGAAGTTGGTTTTCGCCCACCCCGAGATCGGCGCGAAGGTGTGGCATTACGTATTCGAGGACTTCGGCGGCAAGCAGTTTCGTCAATTCTACTTGTCGCCCGAGGCGAGGGCGAAGGCCACGAAGAACAGCTTCTACGAAAAGAACAACGACAAAATCAACGCGGGCTTCGATTACAGCATGAAGGAGGCGCCGAAGTCAACGCAGGGGCTGCAGCAGCTGCGATGGCAGGCAATGGCAATGAGGAGCGGAATGCCTCTCCACGGGTGGCTCATCGGCCTCGTGAAGAAGCCCCTGCGAGCCCTGGCGGCAGAGGGCGCCCTGGCGAAGAAGTACATCAGCAACGTGCTCCGTGCCGACGTCCACTTCAACGTTCGCGTGCTTGCCGTCCTGAAGGAGCTGATCGGGAGCAATGAATCGCTGGTCATGATCGGGGGGCCGAACGTGGGCAAGACGCCGCTCGGGCGCGCCGACCTGATGGCAATGCGCCGCAGGAACGCACGGGCGCGCGAGATGGGCGCCGCGGGCTGTTGCATCCGCGTCACTCCCGAGGTAGATTTCCTGCTGGGCGAGCCAGGCGACATCCTGATGGGCGACTTCCTCGACGACGGCTGCCTCGGCCTTCTCCCGCCCAAAATGGTCAAATCCATCCTGGACCTCGGCCCGTGCGAGAGCGTGTGTTCGGCCAGGTGGGGCGCTACCAAGTGGAAGAAGGGTGAGCCTCGGTGCGTTGCCGACCAGACGCACGAACCCTCGGTGGAGAAGCAGGACTGCTGGCCCTCGGCAACCTTCCAGGAGTTCTTCGAACTCGTGCGCCCTGCGTTTCACGACAAAGCCGCCCCCGCGTGCATCATGGCTTTTTTTTTTCAATTGCTCGGGGTTCCTCGTGAACACCATGAAGAGGTTGCACTGGCGCCCCGCGGGGGCCGACGAACATGACGCCCAGCGCATCGACTTCGAGGGGGGGGGGGGGTTCTTGACCGCCGAGGGCAAGCGCATGCGCATGCTCCAGAAGGACGGCGACATGGCGCCGCCCGACAATCTGGGAGCGCTTCTGGAGAAGGGAAAGTTGTTCGTCGACTCGGCCGCGCAGCGGGCCCGCAAGGGGGCCGCGGACTCGGCCGCGGCCTCGTCGGCGCCGCCCCCCCAGTTCGTCGAGGTCAAGCGAGGGTGCGCGTCGCCCGAGCGCTTGCAGTTTCGGAAGCGCTTGCTGTCGGGAATGACGCTCAGCATTGACGGTTCCCCGCCGCCAGCCGCCCCGCCCCGCGGCGATCTCGACATCCAGCTTTCGCAGATGCTGGCAGAGGAGGGGATGCCCGCGGCGCCTGCGATGCCCTCGGCTGCGGAGGAGGTGGAGGCGCGCGCATTCCTCTCCAGCCAGGACTGAGCGGGCGGCAGCGGGCGGTGCAGCCTCTTCTTTATATATGCGATACAATGAAACGTGTTGCGCCGCGGGCCAGGGCGTCGCCCTTGCGGAATGGCATGGGTAGTGCAGCTTCTTCTTCATATATGCGAGTGTCTCGTTTCCGAAAAGCGGGCGCGTGGCAAGGACATAGACCGCATGCGATGGCGCCCGCGTGTCCTTGCCCCTGCGGCCCTCCGTTGGCCAACCATAGTCCAGCAGGCTCTTATGAGGTGTTCCAAGGGGATTGCAGCATTGCCGCGCTATCAACACCGTCGCAGCGCATGTCACTTTTCTTCTTGTTGTGTAGACTTGAGGCTCAACGTCGCCGCGCGCATCTCGGTGGCCAGGCGCCAGGGCCCATGGCGAAGTCGGCGACGAAGTCCGCCATGAAGACCGTCGCGAAGCCCGCCCCGAAGGCCGTGCCGATGAGGAAGCCAGCCGCCGAGGCCAGGGGTCGAAGCCGCACGCGGGGGCAGCGCTGCCCCCAGGAGCGTCGCAACAAGCGGTCGGTGCTGGCCGCCTCGCGCCGCCGCGACATCTTGGCCACGGCGCGGAAGGCGCGCATGGCGGCCCAGGCCAAACGCAAGCGCTTGGAAGCCACGGGCGTGTTCCACACGCCCAAGCGCCAGCTGTTGTCTCGCGCGCGGCGCGGCGGGTCTTCTTGAGCCAAGATCTACACGCGCGAGGACCTCAGGGCTTTGAAGACCAAGGATGCTTACGACTTGATGGTCCAGGCGGGGTACCTCGGCGACCCCGCCGAGAACGTTTGCCCCAGGTGCGGATGGCCCTTGGGTTCCGTGATTCACAGGGGCGGGAAGCAGCATCCATTCCGAAGGTGCAAGCGCAAGGCTTGCTCGTCGTCCTCGGTGCCAGTGAAGGCCATGTGCGGCACGTGGGCGGACGTGGAAGTGCCTCTCCCGAAACTGGCGGGCGCCGCCTTCCTGTCGCGCGGCGCCCTGACGCCCCGCATGAGTACAGCCGACATGGCGCTGATTGCCAAGATGGGCCACAGGCTGTGCGAGGCGGCCAGGCAGAGTTTGCTAGAGTTCGTCTCGGCTGCTTCGAGGGAAGAGCAGAAGTCGGTCGTGCTCAGCGGCCAGTGCGGGACCGACGCCACGACCCTGCGGGTCGTCCAGCTCAAGAACGGACGCAACATGCACATCCGCGTGTTCGGCATGTGCAAGCGCGGAGACCACGGACACGCCGTCGTGCACATGTTGCCGCCCTTCTATGCGGTCCGCGGCGGCCCGACGCGCCCCGAGAGCACGGATGAGACCGCGCCGCTGATCTCAGCTCGCACGGGGGCCGACGTGCTGGTCTGGCACGCAGACGGAGCGCGGTGCTTCTGCCGCCTCGAGAACCACGCGAAGGTCAAGCACGCCAGGCGCATCGGGGCGAAGGCCAAGACGCTGACCCTGAGCGGGGGTGACGTCCTGTGCTGCTACGGCGGGGCGCAGCTCCAGGACGGGCTGTGGTCGCATGTGCAGAACGTCGTCCCAACCACCATGAACACGCACAGCAAGGAGTCGCAGGCGCAGCTCGAGAACTGGGTGCACTTGTGGGCGTGGCGCTACAGGCGCGCCAGCTGTCCAGACATGCGTTTCGAGCTCGGCTCGGCCGTCGCCACGGCCAGGTTGCAGGGCCACGCCCGGTGAGAACCTGTCTGTGCGCTAGAGAGGGCAGCATATATAAATAAAGGCCAGCGGCCGAGAGAGCTTGGTGAGAACCTGCCTGGTCAGGACCGCAGCTACAACAGATCGTCCGCGGCCGAGAGAGAGAGAGAGAGAGAGAGAGAGAGAACGAGAGCGAGAGCGAGAGCGAGAGCGAGAGGTAGGGGGAGAGTCGCCATGAAATTTGGCCAAGAGGGTGGTCCACGGGAGTCCCGCCTGTGCATAGCTATCAGTGCACATGTCTGTATGTCTGTCTGTCTTTCTGTATGAATGTAAAGGCGCGTATGTATGTATATACACGTGTGCTTACATACTCACATACATGCATGCATGCATGCATACATACATGCATACATACATACGTACGTACGTACGCACGCACGTACACACATACATCTAGACATGCATACATGCATGCATACATGCATGCATACCAACCTGCAAATGTACACATAATTATATATGTTTATATACGTTCACCTACACACATCCACACACACGCATACATACATACACACATACATACACACGTACACACACATACATACACATACATACATATACATATACATACATACATACATACATACATACATACATACATACATACAAGCAAACATACATATACACGTACACACATGCACACACATGCACGCACGCACGCACGCACGCACGCACGCACGCATGCATGCATGCATGCATGCATGCGTGCGTGCGACCGTGCATATACATACGTTCACGCATGCAATCAAATGAAGAAACAAACGTAGACATGATACCGATTGTGCACGTGCATATATCCTGGGGCCAAGGCCGCGCCGTTGGGGATAGGGATCGGTTCGCCGATGCTCCAGGACGAGATCGGCCCGCAGGTCCGGAGCGCGGCCGCGCTTGCGGAGGGCGCCGGCGCGAAGGCGCAGAGCGCGGCGGAGACGGCGTCCGCCCTGGGCGCAGACGTGGGCGGCCTGCGGGACGGTTTGCAGGAGCTGAAGCACAAGCTCCGGACGGATATGCAGAACGGGGACGCCCAGGTGGGCCCTGCTCCAACTCCTCCTCCAATTCGTCCTCCTCCTACTACTCCTCCTTTTCCTCCTCCTCCTCCTCTTCCTTTCCTTCCTCCTTTTCTTCCTCTTCATCTTCCTTCTCCTTCTCCTCCTCCTTCCTCCGGTCCAAGCGGGCCCCCCTCGATCACCAGCTCTGAATCGGGCCTGTCCCTCTCCTTTACAGGAGGAATGTTCCGAAACGATATAATAATAGTCAGGGATTACGATTTCAGGACTAGTTTTGAACATGCGTTGAGTGATTTTTGGGCTAAGTTTAGTTTTTCCTCCAAACCCCCCGTGCGGGGGGAACACGCTCCACCTAACACCAGCTGTGCCCCTCCGCCTCGTCCTCCTCGCGCTCCGCGCAATGCGAAGCGCGCACTGGAGGGCCTTTCCCTGGACAGGTGCGCCAGCACGTCGCCGACGAGCTGCAGCAGATGGGGGTCAAGTTCGACGAGCAGCTGCTGAAGCTGGCGACGCGGATAGAGGGGATGGTGGCGGAGCGCTTGGACCAGAAAGCGGCACAGCGCGAGCTTCTGGCGGTCCGCGCGGATCTCTCGGATGGGCGCCTGGGTTTCTTTGGCGGCGCCGCACCTGGCGCGGTCCGCGCGCCAGGGAGTGGCGCCCAGCTCGGACGTCAGATATTTAGACATCCGCGCGGACCTCAGAACGTTTATGTGTTTGTTCCCTCCTCTGGGATTAAGTCGGTCATGTCCCTCTACAGGGGGGATCTTTCTAAGAACACGAAAAAATCGGGGGCGATGTTTGTTTTTGTTTGCCTATATTTGAGAATATGTTTGACTATAGTTGAGCATTTGTTTGTGTATATTTCAGTCAGGGGACGATGTTTGTTTTTGTTTGCCAAAAAAAAAGTCGGGGGACGATTTTTGATTGTTTTGCTTATGTTTAGTAATTGTTGGGTACTCTGCTCTTCGTCCCAAATCCACCTGTAGGGGGACACGCCCGAGTTAACTCTAGGATCAGGAGGGGAAAAACACACAGACACAATCAATCGTCGATGCCCGGGACAATGCGGAGAAATATGGAGAGTGGGAGGGAAGACGAAAACCCAGAACATATGGGAAGATATGGTGAATCTTGTTATTTGTGTCTATTGCGAAGGCCTTAGGCCCGGTGCCGCCGACCCTGAAGACGACGGAGGAGGAGGAGGAGGAGGAAGGAGGAGGAGGAGGATGAGGAGGAGGAGGAGGAGATGGGGGAGGAGGAGGAGGAGGGCAAGTGTGGGCGTTTCGCGTGGGAGCCTCGGGGCGTCCCGGCGGGTTTTCGCCGGCATAGCCGGCTGCCCTTTGCAGGCCCGGGGGAGGAGGAGGAGGAGGAGGAGGAGGAGGAGGGAGGAGGAGGGGAGGAGGAGAGAGAGGAGAGGAGGAGGAGGAGGAGGAGGAGGAGATGAGGAGGAGGAAGGAGGAGGAGAGGAGGATGAGGAGGAGGAGGAGGAGGGGAAGGAGGAAAGGGGGAGGGGAGGAGGAGGGGGAGGGGGAGGGGGAGAGGAGGGCGAGGAGGGAGGTAGGAGGGGGAGGAGGGGGAGGAGGGAGGAGGAGGGAGGAGGGGAGGGAGGGAGGGAGGGAGGGGGAGGAGGGAAGGGAGGGAGGGAGGGAAGGAGGGAAGGGAGGGAGGGAGGGATGGAGGAGGGAGGGAGGGAGGGGAGGGAGGGAGGGAGGGAGGAGGAGGGGAGGAGGAGGTGGGAGGAGGAGGAGGCCCCCTTGTGCGGAGTCGTATGTGACCCCCCCCCTCATTTGCGCCTACTTCTCTGTGTCTCCGGCGTGGGCCTACTGATTTGTGTGCCCCAGGGCCCCCTTCGTAGGAGCGCGCCTCCGGCGTGGTGGGCGAGGCCGCCGCCCGCATGCGCGCCGACCTGGAGGCCACCGCCGCCGGCCTGCGCCAGGAGCGCCTGCCTCCATCCGCCGCCGCCGCCGCCGTCGTCGTCGTCGTCGTCGTCGTCGTCGTCGCCGTCGTCGTCGTCGTCGTCGCCGCCCGTCGTCGTCGTCGTCGTCTTCGTCGCCGTCGTCGCCGCCACGCCGTCGTCGTCGTCGTCGTCGTCGTCGTCCGTCGTCGGTTGGCGGCGGCGGCGTCGTCGTCGTCGTCGTCCGCGTCGTCCGTCGTCGACGTCGTCGTCGTCTTCGTCGTCGGCGGCGGCGGCGTCGGCGGCAACGGCGGCGACGTCGTCGTCGTCGGCGGCGGCGTCCGCGGCGGCGGCGGCGGCGGCGGCGTCGCCGTGGCCGCCGAGGAGACTGCCGCGGCCTGCGCGGAGGTGCGAGAGGAGCTCGGCGGCACGCTCACCGCCGAGGCTCAAGCGGGGAAAAGCACCTTCCGCCTTCTTTTTCTTCGTCTTCGTCATCCTTATCCTCCTTCCCATCCTCCTCCTCCTCCTCCTCCTCCTCCTCCTCCTCCTCCTCCCTCCTCCTCCTCCCCCTCCTCCCTCCTCTTCTCTCCTCCTCCTCCCCCTCCTCCCCCTCCTCCTCCCCCTCCTCCATCCTCCTCCCCCTCCCTCCTCCTCCTCCTCCTCCTCCTCCTTCTCCTCCTCCTCCTCCTCCTCCCCCTCCCCCTCCTCCCCCTCCAACGTATCAAGAAGTTCACGACGGACGCTTTCCGGAGGAGGCACAGGCACTACCGATATTTGTTACCCTTCCTTCGTGTTCGCCTCCTGGGAGGCCCTTGTTGCCACGGTTGGCCCGCCAGGAAGTCCTCGTCAGAACGCGCCCCCGGAGAGCTCCGGGGAGCAGCGCTCCGGGAGCTGTGGGCTTCCCCCCGTCGTGCCGAACGGGGTGGCGACGAGATCTTCGCAGTTTTCGGCCTCTATAGGGGCCCTCGCCGCTCGCCGGGCCCAGGGGGGACCGTCGACGGAGCGGACGCGGGACGAAGGACGGGTCCGCGGGAAGTGGCCCAGAGCTCGGGCGGCTGGGTTTTGGGGTGGCCCAAATCAGTATCGTTTATCCGACCCCGACCCCCATCCCCATCCCCGTCGAGACCCCCACCAAATTACCCCCCTAGTTGGGGATACACCCCTCGAAACCCGAAGGGAGTGACCTATATCCTCATTTAGGGTGGTAAATCGGCCAGTGGGGCCCAGGCCACGCCGCTGGGGATGGGGATCGGTTAAACGATGCTCACAAATGGGGGGGGTGAAGAAACGGGCCCCAAAGGGGCCCTTGGGGGCCCCCTTTTTTGGAGCCAGCTGGTGCCCGAACGGGGCCCGAAAGGGACCTTTTACGGGCTTTTCTCGTCGCCCCCGTTTTGTCACCACCCACCAAACCACCCCAACCCAACCCGAAGGCCTCAATTTGCCCTCCATTTTCAGTGGGGGTGGGGGGTCGGGGAACGTTGAAAAAACATATGGAACCCGTACCCCCCCCAACCCGAAATTCGCGTCAAATTCGGGTCTTCGGGTTGGGTTGGGGAGGTCTGGTAAGTAGTCATTTTGGGCCGCCCCCCATTGCCACCCGCCCGAAGTGTCCTGGGGGCCCCGCCGCGGAACGACAAGGCTCTGGGCCTCCCGGATGGGGTCGGAGTAGATGGGGTCGGCGGACTCCGCCGCACCGGCGATGCACCGCCGATGCGGCTCGATGTGGAGCCCGATTTGCTTCGCGTCGACGTCGCCGATGCATCGCCCACGTCGACGATGCATCGCCGGTGCATCGCCGATGCATCGCCGATGCATCGCCGATGCATCGGCGATGCGGCGCGATCCTCTGGCCCCATCTGCTCCGACCCCATCCAGGAGGCCTCTGGAGGCTGGGCGTGGGAGGTCTACAGGTAGGCTCAGGTCGGGCCTGTCCCCACACTGGGGGATTTGGGGCGAAAAATAGAAAATAATCAAACCAGATTCCAAAAGTGCCGAACATACGAAACAAATTCGCCCCCCTACTATTTCAACCATTTTTGAATATTCCTTCTGTAGAGGGACAGGCAGACAGGCAGGAGCCGCGCCCTGACGGCGCATCGGCAGAAAATAGCATGCGGAAGACATACCTGAAACACGTGCAAGAACACCTGCGTGCAGACGCAGTGCCTCGGTGCACAAGCGCCGGACCCTTCGTTCCGGAGCGTCGCGAGGGACAGGCCCGACGTAAAGTCAGGCGCACGGCAGAGCTCGCGCGCCGCGCATGGAGGCGGCGGCGACGCCCCCTGCGCGGGCGCGCGCGGGGTGGAGTGGCGCCCGGTGGCCCGAGAGTCGGCGTCGGTTGGCCGACCCTCAAAACCCGCAGGTCGAGACGGTCGAAATGGTTGCGGAAAGGTGGGGTACGATGCCCAACAGCAGTATTTGTTCATTCTGAACAGGACTTGCTGTCCGCGCTGCCGCGGCCATCGTTCTCTGAAGATGAAAGGGCCAGCAGCCGCCGCTGTCGGTTTTGGACAACAAGTGTTGTTGGGCAGTGTGCCCATTTTCTCCGTACACATTTCGGGAGTCCAAAGCAGGGCTCATTTCGATTCCTCCGATTCGATTCGATTCGATTTCGATGGCTTCCGATTCCGATTCGACTCGACTTGGATTTCCAATGCGGGCTCCGAGTTCTCCACAGAGGCCTACCAGCCTGCCGGATCTCCCCCGAATCGACTTTTCCCGACCGGGCTGCCGATTTCCGCCGATCCGATGCATGTCGGTTGCAGATCCGACTGATCGATTCGCTTCTGGGCTCTCCTGTCGCCTGCTCGACCCCGTCTCCGCATCCCGATCCCCTGCCCAAACCCCCAGCACCTCGGCACCCCGGTGGGGGACACGAACCCTCGGAGCCCGCAGGAGCAGGCGGCTCTGTCACTCACCACCCACCAAACCACCCCAGCCCAACCCGAAGGCTCAGAGTTACCCTCGATTTCCAGTGGGGGGGGGGTCGGGAAACGTCGGAAAAACACGTGTGGAGCCCTTCCCGCCTTCCCCTCCCAACCCGAAATTCGGGTCTTCGGGTTGGGTTGGGGTGGTCTGGCAGGTAGTCAGTCACAGCGGGACCTGCCGTCGTCGGTCTGCCTCCGGCCACCGAAGCCCGAGGGACGCAGCGGCGCGGCGCGCACGGAGCCCGCGGCGACCCCCGCGCGGGCGCGCGGGGTGGAGCGCGCCGCCGGTCGAGCGGGAGCCGGGAGGCGGGTACGAGGAGCGGCAGAGTCACGAGCCCAGCGCTGACAGGAGCCATGCTGCGCAGCGTTCTCGGCGTGTTTTTTTTTTCCGCGTGGTGTGTTTTTTGTTTTGTTTCGCAGCGGCGGTCGTTGCTGCACGCGGTGCGCCGGGCGTTCTGCGCGGTCGTATGCTCGGCGTCGTCGTCTGTTTTTGCTGCTGCGCTGCCGCGTGCGGTACACGCACCGCTTCTCGCGGGAGCGGAGCTCGCCGCCTCGCCGCTGACGAAGAGGCGTGCGGCATGCGCACTTGTGCGTGCTTCGCAGGTGTGTGCTCTACGCAAGTGTGTGTGTGTGTGAGAGCGTGCGTGCGTGCGCGTGCGCGTGCGCGTGCGCGTGCGCGTGCGCGCGTGTGAGCGTGCGCGTGCGCGTGCGCGTGCGCGCGCGCGTGTGTGTGTGTGTCTCCGTGTGTGTGTGTGTGTGCGTGTGTGTGTGTGTTTGTGCGTTTGTGTGTGTGTGTGTGCAGGCGGCCTTCTCCTCCCTCCTCCTCCTCGTCCCCCTCCTCCTCGTCCCCCTCCTCCTCCTCCTCCTCCTCCTCCTCCTCCTCCTCCTCCTCCTCCTCCTCCTCCTCCTCCTCCTCCTCCCCCTCCTCCTGCCCTTCTCTCCCCGGCCGCGGGGCGCCCTGCTCTCCGCAGCCGTGTGTCGCTGCGTCTGCTGCGCGCGCCCTCCGCGCCGTGCCCCGGCCGCCTCCGGCCGCGGCGCGGAGCCCGCCTCCGGCCCGCCTCCGCCTCTAAGCTAGAGCTAAGCTGAAGCTAAGCTGGAGCTAAGCTACAGCTAAGCGGAACAAAAGACACACGCAGTCTCAATGGATCGTCGAGTGTCCCGAACACGTGGGAGAGTAGGGGAAGTGGAGGGGGGGGGGGCAGAAGCCCCGAAGCTGCGGGAACAGATGGGGCATCCTGTTGTGAGTGTCCATGCCTTTGAGTGTCCCATGGCCCCTTCATCTATGCAGTTGTGTGTTCTCTGCCGTGTTTGTTGTTTTTGTTTTTTTGTTCGTCCCTCCTTCCTCTCGGCCGTCCCCCTTCCCTCTTTGCTCGCCGGCCGCTTCGCCACTCTGTGCCCCTAACTATCTCCACGCTGGAGCGGACTTCGCCGCCTCGCCGCTGACGGAAAAAGGTTCTCTGCAGTTTTGCGTTTTTCGCAGTTGTGCTACGCAGTGCGTCCCTACGCAGGGCCGAGTTGTGGTTAGGTTCGACTCCCCCCGCTGGCGCCTGTATCGGCTGCCCCCCTCCCCCTTCCTCCCATTTGTCCTGCCTCCCCGCGCTTGCTCCTACTTTGCGTTCCCGCCTCCTTCCTACCGCTTACTTCCTATTTCTCACCTGCTTCTTCTTGGGACGCTCAGAAGGGATTCCGATTGAAGGTCCTAGTGGGGTTTCTTCTATATTTGTTTGCAGTAATTCTAATTGAGACTCATGTAGTAGGGCCCCTCGCCGATACTCGAACGGGGGATTCCTAGTGCCACTCCAGATAGTTATGCCTGAGGCTGTTCGTCCGGGTTCCTAGCAGGACTCTTCGTCGGGATTCCAATTGAGACCCGTCGTCAGAGTTTAGCCGTTATTGTTGAGACACGCTGCGTGGAGTACACCGCCAAGAGTGCACCGCGCAACCGCGCAGAAGACATTGCGTAGAAGACACCGCGTAGAGGACTCCCTGCGTAAAGAGCACCGCGCAGACTGCACAGCGCAGACAGCATTCCGTAGAATACACTACGCGGAGGAAAAGACACCGCGCAAAAGGCAGGGCCACCGTGCAGGACGCGCGCCGCGTGGGGAACTGCAGCGAAGAGAACGCCGCCGCGAGCTCTTCGACGCTTCGCGGGCAGAGTGCGCGGTGCAGGGAAGGACGCGCCGCGCAGAGCACGCTGACGTAGAGCATGCACGAGTGTCAGGCGCCGCGTGAGACTCACCAGCCTCGAAGTTGTCCCTATCCCTAAGATTGCCTCGCCAAAAGGCGATGACAATCTTAGGGATGTGCCCTCAGAAACGAGAGGGATCCCTGAGATCGGCATCGTGATGAGGCGATGCCCCGCATAGGGATAGGGATATGTTCCTGGCTGGTGAGAGACCACCGCGTAGTGCACATTGCGTAGGAGACACCGCGTAGATGACACCGCGTGAAAACACACCGCGCTGGACGCACAGAGTTGAGAAAACATCGCCTGCAAACCACGGCCGAGACAACTGTTTGCGTTGTTTTTAAGTGCGCAACTAATTTTGCGTAGAAGGCATTGCGTAGCAAATACTGCATGGAACGCACAAAAGAAACACACACACACACATCGTAAACAAACACACCACGCAGGAAACAATAACACCGCGTGGCACATGCCGAAGAACACGTGGCGTAGAACGCATTGCGTAGAAACCACATCTTGAGGGGAAACATAGCGTAAACACCACCGCGAAGAAAACACCCACGAAAACACTGCCTAGAAAACATGCACGTGAGACAGCACCGCGTGATCAACATTGCGTTGAAAACCCACAGCAGAGAACAGTGCTTAGAAAACATTGCGTCGACACCTCTGCGTGTGTACCTCTGCGTAGACAGCACGCACATAATACAGCACAGCGTAAAACAGAACGCGCAGAAACCACAGCGCAGTCACTATTGCGAGGACAACACACGTGAGACAACACCGCGTACACAAACTCCGCGTAGAACAGAACGTGCAGAAACCATCACGGTGAAAACATTGCGTATATAACGCCGCGTAGATACCATTGCGTAGGGAACATTGCGTAGGACAGATTGCAGAGAAAACGCACACAGAAGAACACACAGCGTGAGAAACACCACGTCGAAACACAGAAGAACACAGCGTAAGAAACACATAGAAAACAATGAGTCGAAAGCAGAACGCATTGCGTAGAAAGCACACTGGAGAAAGTACAGCTCACATAATACCGCGTGGAAAACAACACAACAACATCGTAGCAGACGTGCAGAGGAGAAACCACCGCGTGAACAACACTGCGCCGGAATCGTACACGAAAGGGGAACCACCTCGTAGAAAGCATTGCTTAGATCACACTGCGTACATAACACTGCGTCGATAACACACAGAAGGCAAAGACAGCATAACAAACACACGCTGCGTAGGAAATACCGCGTAGGATACACTGCGAGGACACGCAAACACACACACACACACACTGGAGCCAAAACCGCGGAACAAAACAACGCAGCGTCGAACACACCCCGTATAACACATTTCATTGACAACGCACGCAGATCAAAGCGTACCAAGACAATGCGATTAACGCACCCTGGAGAAACCACCACGTGAAAAAACATTGCGTTGAACGCACTGCGCAGAACACACACAGGAGAAGCCACCGCGTGAGCAGAATTGCGTTGAAAACAACACGTAGAAAGCACTGCGTGAACGCACGCTGCGTACAAAGCAGTGTGTAGACAACACAAAGAAGAAACCACAGCGTAACCACAGCGTAACAAAACACCACGTATAATACACCGAGCAGGGACACTGCGTGGTAAGCGCTGCGTAGAACGCACTGCACAGAAACACATCCTGGCGACAGCACAGACAAACCCGCGGATACAAGACAACAAAACGCAGTGCGCAGAAAACGCTCACTGGAGACCCTACCGCGTGGAACACTCAGCGTAGAACACGCACACGGAAGAAATCACAGCGTAACCCACACCATTCAGAAAGCATTGCGTAGAAGCATTGCGAAACAACGTTGTGCAGAGAACGCTTCATAGATAACACGCACAGAAGATCAGACAGCGTAGAAAGCATGGCGTAGAAAACGCATTGGGGGCAACATTGCGTAACAAGACAGCACCGCGTAGAACACACCCCATAGGTGATCGTTTTTTATTCACAGTTTTGCCGGTCGGCGTGGGCCCTCGCACCCCTCCTTCACCCGCCCCCATGGAGTAGTTCTTGGTTGTTTGGGGCGCCTGTTCCCTGCAGGTGGAATCTCCCCCGTTGGTGCAAATGGTCGCGCTGAACAGAGGTCTGGAGCCAGACCCCCCCCTCCCCCCCTCGCTTCCCCCCCCCCACTTCCGCCCAATGCCGGAACGCCGAATAAGAATACGTTCGCAAGAACACATTGCGCAGGACACGCGCACAGGTGCAGATGAAAACACCATGCTCCAAGCATTGCATCGAAAACACAGGAGACATCACCACATGCGAAACCATTGCGTAGGACCTACCGTGCCGAAAACAGTGCGTAGAAACACACAATAAGCCACAGTGCAAGAAACACACCACGTGAAAACACTGCGTAGAAAGCAGAGTGTAGGCATCACACCCTGGAGAAACATTGCGTACCAAATTGCGCGTGAACCACAGTGCGTAGGGAATTCGGCGTAGATGGCACGGCATAGGTAACCCTGCGTAACTAGCAGACATGGAAGAAACACAGAGTGAAACAAAGTTTGCTTACACGCCGCCGCGTAGAAAACATTGCGTAGGAACGCACCCACACATTCTTCGAGACATCACCGCGTGAAGGAAACACCACGTAGAAAGCACCTCGCAGAAAGAAACACCTTGTATGACACATTGCGTAGACAACGCTCACATGAGAAAACACAGCGTTGAAAGGCGCTGCGTAGAAATCGCACTCAGGCGAAATCACTGCGTAACAAAACCACTGTGTAGAGCACATTGCGCAGAAAGCACACGCAGAGGAATTTAAAGCGTATAAGCACCAGCGTATAAACACAACGCGTGGGAACCGTGGCTCCAAGAGCACTGCGTTGTTTTAAACGATTTCACCGTTACAAGTAGCTTTCGCCCCCGAGGCCACAAGAGCGTCAGCGGCTCCAGGCCGCGGCCATTCGGTGGTTTCCACCGGGGGCGTCTTGGGGGTGCTCTACGCAATGCCGTCGGGGCGCCGAGGAAGGAACCCTTTTCGTTGGGGGGATGGGCCCGGTGCTCCGTGGCTGTTCTGCAGTTTGCCGTACGGGCCCCTGAGGTCTTCCATGTGGAATCGAAGCTGAATTGATTGGGAATCGAAGCTTCACTTATGTCGGGGGACGAAATCTATACATATCCACTGCTCCCTGGCCAGGCCCATTCTGAACCCAGGAGCTGTGTATACGCCCTCCTGGCCAAACCAGGAGGGCGTGGCGTATACACAGCTGCTGTGTTCAGGATGGGCCTGGCCAGGGAGCAGTGGATATGTATAGATTGCGTCGCCCTGTTATGGGAATCGAAGCTTCACTTATGAGGCCTCGGTGCCTTCTTCGGGGCTCCTCGGGCCCGCGCCCCGGAGCGGCAGCGGCACCGGCCTTCGGCCCCGGAGCTCCGCGCGGAGGCCTCTCGGAGCGGCCCCTATAACGGGCCCGAGGGGCCACCCGCTGGCGCGCCTCCCGCGCCGCCCTCGCTCGCTCCGCTCCGCTCGCCTGGGGAGGGGGGGCCCAGCGCCGACCCCCAGAGATCCGCGCGGACCTCCCAAGCTCGGCCTCTTGTATAGGGCTTTGGCTGCTTCTCCGGCAGGCGGGGCTGGGCCTGGGCTCTGCGCTTTGCTGGCAGGTGGCCCAGGAGCATCGCGCGGAACGACGGGTGCGGTGCCCGAAGGCGCCGTGAACTCGACATACCGACGCCCGATGCCCTCGCCCCTCACTCTTCGCCCTTCTGGGCCCCTACGACGAGGAGGAGGAGGAGGAGGAGGGGGAGGAGGAGGAGGAGGAGGAGGAGGAGGAGGAGGAGGAGGAGGAGGAGGAGGAGGGGAGGGAGGAGGGAGGAGGAGGAGGAGAGGAGGAGGAGGAGGAGGGAGTAGCCGTACCGTTATCGCCCTGTCCTCCCAGAGTCGGGAGGACGGAAATGGGTGGAGTGCAAGAAACGTGGCGTGATCAGGAGTGCAGCAAAGCGGCTTTAGACCCTGAGCGGCCCCAAGTGGCGCATCAACTGCCACCGCGTGCCCAAAAGGTTTATGAGTGGTGTACGCTTCTCCACCCCGCGTTGATTGGCCCCCCGTCGACTGACACCCAGCAGAGGTGGCGGGCATCAAGGCGAAGAACGCCCAGCAGGACAAGGAGTTGGAGAGCACCAAGAAGAGGCTCATGGCGGACATTAGCGCGCAGGAGCCGGGGCGGGGATGGGGGCTGAGAGGCAGAGGAGGAGGAGGAGGAGGAGGAGGAGGCGGAGAAGGAGGGGGAGGATGAGGACGGAAAAGGAAGAGCAGATGGAGGAGGAGGAGGCGGAGGAGGAGGAGGAGGAAAAGAAGGAGGAGGAGGAGGAGGGAGCTGGGGCCACGAGAGCTGTGCACGCGCACCGACTCTGTCCAGGCTTCTCCTCTGGGCTCTGGATCGGTGCACGCGCTTCCCCTGGGGCCTTAAGCTCGATCAGGAGGGGCAAAGAGGGGCAAAACACACACACACACACACACACACACACACACACACACACACACACACACACACACACACACACACACACACACACACACACACACACACACACACACACACACGCACACACCCACACACCCACACACCCACACACCCACACACCCACACACCACGCACGCACGCACGCACGCACGCACGCACGCACGCACGCACGCACGCACGCACGCACGCACGCACGCACGCACGCACGCACGCACGCACACGCGCACACACACACACACACACACACACACAGAAACAAGTAGCTGTCTATCCCCAGGAAGAGATGGGAAAACATGGGAGGTGGGGGGGGAAGTCGAAAGTCCAGAATTCTAGATGTATGGGGAAACATGCGGAATTCTTGGGTCTGCGTGTCTCTGTTTGTGTGTCCCTGAGGCCCTGAGCTGCATCTTCCGGCGGCATCTGCCGCGCTGGCTCGATCCTCGATGGCCCCCGGGGGGGCCCGAAGCGCGGCGCAGACGCCGGGTGCGAAGAGGAGTGGCAGCGCCCAGACCTCGGGTTTTCGTGGCCCTGATAGAGCACCCAGGGAAGATCTTACCCCGGGCCTACCCCCTGGGGCCTACCCCGAGGCCGAACCCATGCCTATCCCTAGGGCCTACCCATAGGGCCTACCCCTGAGGCCTACCCCTAGGGCCTACCCCTAGGGCCTACCCCTAGGCCTACCCCTAGGCCTACCCCTGGGGCCTACCCCTAGGCTTACCCCTAGGGCCTACCCCTAGGGCCTACCCCTAGGCCTACCCCTAGGCCTGCGCCTAGGCCTACCCCTAGGCCTACCCCTGGGGCCTACCCCTAGGCCTACCCTTGGCCAGGCCTGGAGGGCGCGTGCACCGATTCTCGGGCTCAGGATGGGCCTGACCAGTCTCGGCGCACGTAGATAGCTCGGGGGTGGACAGACCTCTCACGTTTTACTAAACCACGTTTTACTAAACCGAGGTTCTGTCTATCCCCAAATAGCAGTAGGTCGGGCATGTCCCCCTACAGGCGGATTTTGGACGAAAAATCCAGAACAGTCAAACAAATACACCAAACATGTGCAAAACCAGTGAACAAAAAATCGTGCCCAGAGCATTGTTTGGCTATGTTTGAATACTCCTCCTGGAGAGGGACAGGCCCGACTTGAGCGTAGCACAGTCCCCCGCCCCGCTTCTCCAGGAGGAGAGCCTGCGGTCGCAGACCCGGCGGCTGGAGGAGAGCTCGAAGCGCGCGATGGCCGAGGCGCAGGGCTCTCTGGAGACGGCCAGCCGGGAGGCGACGGAGCGGCTGCGGGTGCT